TCCTTCCTTCCTTCCTTCCTTCCTTCCTTCCTTCCTTCCTTCCTTCCTTCCTTCCTTCCTTCCTTCCTTCCTTCTTTCTTTCTTTCTTCTTTCTTGTCACCCTGGGTAGAGTGCCATGGGGTCACAGCTCATAGCAACCTCAAACGCTTGGGCTCAAGCAATTTTCTTGTCTCAGCCTCCCAAGTAGCTGGGACTACAGGCGCCTGCTACAGCATCTGGCTATTTTTAAAGACAGCATCTCACTCTGGCTTAGGCTGGTCTCAAACGCCTGAGCTCAAGTGATCTACCCACCTGGGCCCCCAGGGCACTGGGATGTCAAGCATGAGCCACCATGCCGGGCTCTTTCCCCGGGGAGGGTTTTCCCTCCCTCCCTCTCTCAGTTCTTTCCAACCTCCCCTCCCCAATATTTTCAAAGTGTTGACTTCATGTAATTCTGCTCAGTGACCATAAACTCAACCAACAGTAGAGTAAAACCATGATTTCTGAAACATAAAAGAAACATAAATTAAAATAAAAACAAGTGAAAATAAAACCACTACTAAAGAATTTGGGAAGAGAAGTACCTTTTTAATAGATACATAATTTATAAAACACCAGTAACCCGAGTGTTTCTAGAAAGTGGACTTGGCATCTTTAAAAATAGTTACTTGAATTTGATAAAGAACAGATACTTCTGCTTTTGGTTCTTTATGAGTTATTGTTATAATTAGTAAGGCCAAATTCTAACATAGAGGACTATAATAAAACATTCTGGGAATATTAAAATAATTCTCCCAAAGCCTTTACAAATTTTAGGCCAGTTATTCTATCTGAAACTCTGCCCAAGGTATACACCACAATGAGTAATGTGTTGCCGTGAAAGCTTTTTGGATCAACATAATGAACTTTGGGTGCTGGAATATTTGATTTACTGGATTTTTGCTCTTCTCCTGCCTATTTCTCTTGTTAAACATTCAGGCTGAGACTTCACTGTGATTATCTAATCTTACTCCATTCTTGGAAGTTCAGCCTCTGTAAATAGCAGGGAAGGAGACCTTCCTGGATTTTTAGGGTGAATATTTAGCTCTGAATTTAATGAACGTTTAAATCTCTAAGACATCCAGTAGTGTTGAAATTGGCTGGATACCTCATGGTTATAATATTTTAAGCCTTTAAAAATACACAGATTCTCAAATAGTAACATGCTTTTTTCCTGACTTCTTTTTCTGCCTAGCAATTTTGTTATTCCCCTGTCTACTTCAAACAAATCGTATGCAGTTCACCATTCTTACAGCATATGGCTGCTGCCTAGAAGCACTTTGTGTGCCTTGGCAAACAGCCATGTGCAACATTGAGGAATGATTTCCTGGATGCACAGTAGAGAATCTTGCTAATGTATTTTTCTACTGGAGTTCAACTTAAGGTAGGATTGGGTTAGGTTTTTTTTCCTCTCTTCACCGTTCTTTTCTTCTTTCCCCCTCTCCCTTCCTATTTCATCTTTACCGTCTTCCTTTCCCCGAGGTAGAGTAATTTACGCCATCAGTATCCTCGGAGAGTCTCCTCAAGCAATGATAATGTAATACTCATGTAGACAACCCCAGGTGTTCCTAGCTTATGCCTTCTCCAGAATCCCCACCTATTTTTCAAATCATTTTGAGTAAGGACCCATTAATGTTTTGCTTTGTACTCTAGTCTGCAGAGAAATCCTCAAAGCAGAAAATGTGTTGGTTTATAAGCCTCATCACTCATATTGAGACCCTCTGTGAATTTCTGTTTTGGAAAAATAATAGTTTTTTTTAGCATTAATTGAAATGAGGGCTGGGTGTAATTTCCTGCTGCAACGGAGGCAGTTTGGAAGGAGGGAGCCAGATGCTTCGAGAACATAATGCAGTGAGACCAAGAGGTGAATATGCTGTCTTGAGACATTTGTAGCAAAAGAGTTGGGGGACCAGGGCACAGCCTGTTTCCAGTCTGAGATCCCTCCACCCGCCAGTCCCTTGCTTCCTTTCCCACTTCCAATCCTTTCCTTACAGAGAGGGCTCCCTGTGTAGGGTCTCTTGTGACCATCTTTCTGTCCATGCTGCCTGCACAGACTTGCAGTCTAACCCAGCAGCTGCCTTATTGTCTGATCCGTTGGTTGAATTTGTTGATTTGCCACTGGGTTACGTATTTTTGCTCAATGTAATGATAACCTAAATCCTTATGTTCTGAACCTACTTCTGATTCTTTAAGCCTGAGTCTATCATAGCCCCAGTGCAAGTAAGAGATAAGTTTCTGATTAGCATCTAAATATATTGCATAGAGAAAAACCCACGGAAGAGAGAAATATATGTGGAATATATACATTTATATATACACATATAAAATATAAATGTATATATGTGTATATTACATGTGTGTAAATGTATGTATATTCTTATACATATGTACACATACACATAAACACATATCTATATATTAGGTACATGTACCATTTAAATGGAACCTGGACATCCATAAATTACTATGGAACTTATTAAACTATATGTGGAAATAAATAGAACATCACATTTTCAGTATTTGTATATTATAGTGGAAGTCTTTACACATCACATCTTACTGTTGATTAAGACATTGAATTAAGTATCATCTAAATGGAAAGGTAATATGAATTTGCTATTGGTATGTGTTGTTGCCATTTGGGAAAATTATACTATTAACCAGTCTTAAATGGAAAAGCTCCAAATTAGTTGTAAGTTGAGAACAAATAGCAAAGGCTGAATTAATATGCTCTGCATAACGTTAAAAACTGTCTTGATCCTAATTCTCTTCCGTTCGACGTGGCTACCTTGTATTGCCTCTTTCAGAAGACAGTCTTTTATGAGGAAGGTGCCAAGAGTGAAGACCAGCCTCTGAAGGCCTGATGAGGCCTAGTCCACACCTTCCAGATTGGTGTCTGTCACCTCTGGTAGGTGGGGCCTGGCCAAGGCCCCTGGAGACAGCTCCCCAGCTGCTGCTGCAGGAGGTTGCCTACTGGACTCACCTCCGGGCACCCCAGTTGACCCTTGCCCATCTGCTGGGGATGGTGGCACAGGGCCACTCGACTCCACTCCCTGTAGTGGGGCCTGGGCTGGGGACTCAGGGGCCTGACCTGAAGCTTCTGCCTCTGGCTTACAGAACTGCTGCTGAGCTTGGGCTTCAGTGGGGAGACCCTCACCCTGGGCTTCTGCTTCTGACCCTGCAGGGGGATTAGTAGCCGTGGAGGGAGGTTCTGTCTCACTGCCTCCTGGGGTTTCAGCCTGAGGAGTGGGGGGAGGCAAGGGACTCTCTGACTCCCCTGAATCAACCAGATGGGGTTGCTGTGGCTCCTTGAGTGTAGTGTTACAACTCCCATGAGGAATGCCCAATTGTGGTTGGGTTTCTTTGGACTCTGGTGTGGTTGACTGTGGATGATGAATTACCATGAAGGCCGTAGCCAGATTCTGCACAGCATTTTGCACACGATCGGCCTCTTCTGGATCAATCTTTTTATCTACAGAGACATTGGACTCTGGCTCTTCATCGGAGGTGTGCTGACTTTGGTCATCCTTTTCAGACGTTTTTGCCTCTCTGATTTTTTTGTAGAGTTCATTTCTCTCTTCTTGTAAAGCACGACAGAGGTTCTCTAGCCTCCCAATTTTCATCACGAAGCACTCGTATTCTTTAGCTCTCAGTGCTTTCTGTGATTGGAAAACACACACACACACACACACACACACACATAAGCAGACATGAAAAGCAAAGTTGCCAGGATGCTCTCTGGAGACAAGCAAAACCCTTTATTCCAGAATTTGTCTAGGACCTGGCCACAGCATGGTGGTTCAATAGACATTTGGTCACGGAGACCACTTTTTTCTTGCATTGTGTGCTAGACTGGTAGAATTTTAATTAGCATAGGCTGTTTATTTAGGATAAAAAAGATGGCAAGGCTTCTTTCTGCTTTGGTCCAGAGCCTTGCATATCTTAAAGCAGATGAATTTTCTGCTTCTAAGACTAAGAAGCCAGGAGCAAAACTTATAGCAAGATGAATGAGATGGCTTGGGAGTAGGCCCTCAGCAGTGCCTAAACTATTCTATGAATAAACTGCTATGTGTGAATCCCAGCAACAATTTGATTTATGTTGATGAGTAATAAGCATATCTCTTTGGAATTGGTTGCAATTTGGGATGAATTGTTTAGAACAGTAATTACTACCATAGAAACTCACCACATACTAATTCACAATGCTGGCTGCTTCCAACTGTTCAGAAATGTTGGTGTGTTTGTGCATGAAAATGTTCCTATTCATCTCACTCCTTCACCCCTACCCTACAGTTACTCTTTACCATTAAGATCTTTTTAAAAATTTGTTTACATGGAGAGACCTTCACCTGTAAGGCCTGCCTCTTAGGTCAGGGGCTATGTATCTTTGTCTTTAAAGTCTCAAAACCTCATCAAAACCTGCTTGAACTAAGTATTTAAATGTCTGTTGTAGAAAGTAAAGAGATATCTCTTCATACCTGTCTATAAAACAGCACATACACTGAGCAGTTGGGCTGGCATCTTCTTTTGGTATATTCAAATGAGTTAATTAACTTATTCTGTGCCTGTGATGTACCAGACAGGAGAAATTCAAAGTCAAGTACGCGACTCATCCTGCCTTTAAGGCAGCAGCCCTCAACTTTTTTGGCACCAGGGGACTGGTTTCATGGAAGGCAATTTTTCCATGGACCAGGGGATGGGGTAGTATTAGATTCTCATAAGAAGTGTAGAACCCAAATCCCTCTCATGTAGGATTTGTGCTTCTATGAGAATCTAAAGCCTCTGCTGATGGGACAGGAGGGGGAGCTCAGGTGGTGATGGGAGTGATGGGGAGGGGGTGTAAATACAGAGGAAGCTTCATTTGGCTTGGCTCACAAGCTGTTCCACCTCCTGCTGGTAGCTCCTTTCTAACAGGCCATCAGCAGGTGGGGAGGTGGGTGTTGGGACCAATTGCAGCTGTAAGGAATTTACAGGTGTGTTGCTGCTCTGGGGATAGCTATTGAATCCACAAGTAAGCCCGTGACAAAGCTTTTTATGAGTCTAGACCCAATTCTAAATGACCTATGCTCTTAGTATTTTTATTACAGTTTAATATGTCACGTCTCCAAAAAATTCAGCTTTTTTTCAAGCACAATCATTTATACTATTATCTGGTCATTATATTCTAAGCATGAATATTTTGACTTAACATGGAGGATGAAAGCTGAGGGGAGAATTTCCTCACCTCTTCAATCATGTCCAACAGGGCTTTGTTACAGTTCTCAAACCGGGCTTTCCACGTGGCTGTGTCCTTTTCCAGCTTCTTCATTTTCTTAGTTGTCTACAGGAATTAGAGCATTTTAGTGTTAATCTTGAAGAGTTAGAATCTCAAGGAAACTATTAATCCCATGTGTGACATCAAGGGAAGTCCTCCTGTTACCAGCTGCTCAAGCAAACAAACGTTCAGTGTCAAGCGTGAAGATTGCAGGAGAGTCGTGATTTATTTCTGAGCCATCTGGGTCAGGGGTGAGCAAACTTATTTGCACCTGAGCCAATTCAGGAAAAAGGAAATTACTTAGGGGCACGATGTTTTGTCATTGCTTTTTCTTCCATTTAAAAGAAGACTATCTTTATAGAGTCCCACGAATCAGCTTGTCATTTAGGTTATTTGCTTTATTGAATAGGAGGCTATTCCAGTGAGAAAGCTATGTGGATTCTTAGCCATTAAAATGTTGATAGTGTCTGGGCACATTTGGGAAGTGGCCATACAAAAGCAGCTTTCTATTTTCTCAGTCTTTACGTTTGTAGGATGAGGTAAAGTTTACAAAATGTGACTACATGCATTATTGATTCCATCCTTGAAAACAGTCCCACAAGCAAGGTCCTATTTGTATCCCCATTTTATAAATGGGGGAAACTGAGGCTCAGAGAAGATGAATTGATAGAATTCACATGAGAGCAGGGCTGTAGTTATTTTATTTCATTGAATGTAACATGTGCAGAGTATCTGCTGGTCCCCAGGCCTAGGGCTGGGTGTAGGGGATAGTGGAGTGATCAAATGTGGCCTGTTTTTTTTTGAAACTGAGACCACTCACATTCTTGGTTATAGGACCTCCTCTCTGCCTGGGAGAAGTGAACAAGACATGGAATCAGGTGTGATTTCCCTGGATGAGCCAGACCTGGGCACTTGCTGTCCGCTGCTCACCTGCCCGAGGCAGGGTACCCATGAGGCCAGAGACTTGGCCCAGATTCTCAGGCCCTGGCTGTACAGAGAAGCTAGGTTTTTAAATTTTGATCACATATTAACCAGGTTAGTAATTTATAAACTTTTTAAGCTCATTGATCTTTTTAAGAATTTGATGAAATCTTTGGGATCATATTTCAGGAAAATGCAAACATGCACATCTATCTATCTATCTATCTATCTATCTATCTATTTTTTTTTGCTAATTTCCAGGGAATTCCTGGGTCTACTGCTTAAGTCTGTCTATAAATGAACTCCAGATTAAGAACTCCTAGTTTAATATTTATTCCAACTGTAAAACTATAATTTTGAAGTAAAATTTTTTTTCTGTTCTTATATTTATTCTAATCTTAAAATTCTAAAATTAAAAAAAAATTTTTTTAAATGCATAGATTTATCCTAGAATGGGAGAGCTGTAACTTTTTTTTTGTTTGTTTTGAGACACAGTCTCACTCTATTGCCCAGGATAGAGTGCCATGGTGTCAGCCTCGCTTGCAGCAACTCCTGGGTTCAAGCAGTCCTCCTGACTCAGCCTCTGGAGTAGCTAGGCCTATAGGTGTCCCCACAATGCTCCACTAATTTTTCAATTTTTGGTAGAGATGGAGTCTTGCTCTTGCTGAGGCTGCTCTTGACTCCTGAGCTTAAGTGATCCTACCGCCTTGGCCTCCTAGAGTGCTACAAGTATAGTTGTGAGCCATTGTACCCAGCCCGAACTCTACGTATTAATAAGTGTCAACCTTCTTAAGTTTGCTCACTTAATTGTGAAATTTTTCAGACTATTTTATGAAAATATTTTTGAAAGGATGCTTTCTCCACTTAAAAATGATCAATGCCAGTGCCTGCTCAGAAACACAGTTCTGATTCGGATTGGAAAAACACTGAATTGAACCAGATTCAAGCATAAGATCCAGCAATCATAATAGTAACTTAAGATTCTTGAAAAGCATTAAGACCCTTCTAAAATACATTAATTTATTTGACCTTTACCAACTTATAAGGTAGGTAGGGGATGTAAAATATCTCTATAGATTAAAAAAAAAAATTCTGGGAAGCCAAATGAATTATCCAACACTACTTGATGAATAAGAGCAGAACTTGAACTCATGATCCATCTTCTTTTACCATGTCACATGCATCTTCCCTTCTAAGAAGGCTCCTGTAAATGGTATTTCCTACTCAAATATTCCCCTTTTATTTGTATAACAGTTTTTTTAATATTTAGATTAGATATTTTTTGACTTCAGTATATATAATATGTTAAATTGCTACCTCTTATCTTTTTGTTGGCAGCTTTTGACTGGGGCTGGGTTTGAACCTGCCACCTCTGGCATATGGGGCCAGTGCCCTACTCCTTTGAGCCACAAGTACTGCCCTTGTCTTTTTCTTTTAAAACTATTTGTGGAGTAGGAAAAGAATTATTCTTCCTGAGAGTGAAACTATATCCTAGCGTTTTTGGACTCTTGCTCTGATTAATTCACCAGATACTTACCAGTAAAAGAAATGCAGCCCTAACCTCCATCCCACCTATAAACATTTCATGAAATGTGCTGAAATATCTTAGCGAGAGAAAAAGAAAACCAATGGAGAAATTGCCTGTCAAGATAGAAAATGTCAATATTTTGTGGGCGGCTGGCAATACTCACTTTATCCATTTCCTGTTTGAAAGTGGCAAATACTTCGTTGCTCTTTGTCAGTGTGCTCTGGAATTCTTCAAACCTTCCGGAGTAGAGCGTAAGCTGCCAACAGGGGGAAGGGGAGAGCTATTTTAGGGCCGTTTTCAGAATGCATGCAGGACAAAACAACATGTCATTGTTCGTTATTTGGGAAGAAAAATGACCTTTCACCAAAGGAATTCTCAGGACGATGTTAGGAACATGTTATTTTGTTTACGACAAGATCAGCCTAGGCCAGTGAGCGTGAGTCAAGAAAAATGACATTAAGAAAATAGAGCAAGAAACTAGGAAAACAAAAAGTACAAAATGACATAAAATATACCGTCATCCTTTCATTATATCATAAACTTGTATCAAGTGCCTGAGTATTCACGGGGCACTGAGCATGTGTGCAGAGTATATATACAAAAGTATTTAGCACTGGGATCCTGCTTTTAAGGGACCTCTGCTTCTCACGGGAAGCCATTCTCAAAGACAACTTGACTACAGGACAGGGGCTACAAAGTGCCTCGTCAGTTAAGGACAGCAGGTGATCAGAAAAGGTGAGCATGGCAGGTGATCATGTGAACCCCATGTTTGTGGGGAAGGGGAGCCTTGAGTTTGGTCTTTAAGGAGAGGAGCAGGCAGACAAATAAGAAAGGAAATGCAGGCTGGACACGGACGAGCCCTGCCACCATTACGCAGGTTGTGCCCCTCTCCAAGCAATTGCCATTTCTGTTTTAGACATCATTGCCTTACATGCTTATGAATAGCAGTCCCCTTTCCATTAAAATCAGCTTATTACACCAACTTTCTACTGATGGAAGTAAGGAGTCTTGAGGAAGGGATGTCTTTCTCTAATTTGCACAAAGGCATTGCAAAGCTTAGTACCACTGTGTATGTGGCTCACCAGAAGGATATACAGAAGATCCTCTGTGTCTCCGGGTCCTTAACCCCAACACTGCATTTGGGGCGGCAATGGGGCGGCAATGGGGCAGTGCAGGGAAGGAAAGTGTGTAAATACTTGGTTGTTAGTGACAGTAATAAAATAATAAAATCTTGCTTTTGAAAATAATGTTAGGGTAGCATGTTTTCAGTGAGTGGAGATTTAGTGTGGATGATTCACATTAATAAAGCCTCCATTTTCAAATGAGTCTTTGGTTCTCTTGAGTGGTTAGACCAGTACCAAGTTCTCACATGGGCATAAAAACATCCCATGTGAAGAAGCAAACTTTTGGCGTCCAGCAATGAACAAGAACCTGCAGCTGCACTGCTGGACTGGAAGGGCACCAGCTGACCAACTGTAGTGCCAGTGGGACCGGCTTTTGTATGGTGGAAAACCTGACTGGAAGCTGGCAGGGAATACGTGTGAATCAGACAATACCTAGACCCTAGAAAACTGCTTATCTAGAATGATTTCTTCCCCAATACTTCAGAATAGTACACGTTGTACTGCAGTCAACAACAATAACAAAATGATAACATAACTCCTTTCCACAGAATATATCTCACCCAAGAAAAGTCAACAATGGCAGCTGACCATTCTTTTGAAATCACTCATTGGCGATGTATGTAACAGAACTGAAATTTGTTTCTCATGGTTCCTTGGCATACAGATTGAAGAAGACAGAATAAAGAGGTCTGAGGGAATTCAAGGCTGGGAGGCTGCCCCAAGGTTTACAAATACACACTGACACACACACGCAGTGCCCAAAACAATGTTTACTCTTCTGTGGAACATACTCTGACATTCTATTCAGTTGTGTTTCATGTTTTTTCAACATACTGGCTGGGGTCCGCTGAATTGATTTCAGGTCCCATGAATGGGTCAAGCTCTTAGTTTGAGACATTCTGCCCCAGGGTAAATGCTTGTGCGGCTGGCTACCTGCAATGCCCATTATCCATTGGCCCAGGGTGGGAACGACTCCCCCAGTGGATGTGATCATCCACTTGTTCATTTGTATTCTTGGCCAAGAACACAAAACTTCTTCGTGTGTATTCTTGGCCAAGTCTCTTCTGTTCACTCTTTTTTCTTCTTCCTCATTCTTTTTCTAACTTATTAGTAATTCCAGCAGAATTACACAGGGGCCTCAGATCCCGTGGTGTCCTGAGCTGGTCCCCCCTCATGCAGCTCTCCTTTGCTTCCCGTTTGACCTTTCTGTTGAGGGGTAAACCTGTGTGGCTGACACATTTCTTAGATAACTAACCCTAACGTTCTACTCGTATAGTTACTTATTGGATATTTGCTAGGTAGTGTTTTCCTCTGACTGTCCTGCTGACAGGATGCGCGCCTGGTTGGACGTGTCATGTTCCCACTCTCATGCTGGTATCTCAGAGAGGTGTGGAAGGGACATGCAGAGGTCATGTGTAGTATTGCCCCTGCCAGGAGCAGAAATAGGTACAACCCATTCTATGGTTAGAATGATAATAATTGCCTCAATATTTCACTTTTAAATGAGCCCAGCGATGAACACATTCTTTGAACTGAGCAGCAAATTTTAGTTATAAACATTCACAGAGTGTAGGAAACCGTGTCCCGGTTTGTCATAGAACACGTGTGAGATGTGGTCTGAGAGTAAGTCCTGTCACAAGACTAGTCACAGAGGGCTCCGCTCATCCTGCGTTGGCCTGGTGAAGAGTTCAGATGTTAAAGACCATGATTACACACTTTAAACAATTTCCTGACTGGCCTTTCCCCTGGGGTCGTATTTTGTGGCTGGAGTCAGACATTGCCGACTTTCCACATCTACTACTGTCTTCATTCTTATTGATCCAATGAACACTCTATTTGTAGTGACAATTGTAACCCATTGATCATCTCTGACACTTACTCTATTGCCTCGGTTTGTATAATTGAAAGCCAGACATCTCTTCCCTAAGTGACAAACATGCCCCCAACCAGCAAATAGTTGTCTTGTGACTGAAAAGTGACTTTTGTCTAGGAGAACAACACATGATGTCTTTAATATGCATCTTGCTCAGATCTTAAAAATGGGATGAAGGACTTGGCCTCCTGCCATTGGAGACCGTATGAAACCCAGGGATGTGTTTGAGTGCTATGCCAATTAACCTGTGATGGAGGTGGTTTTTTTTTTTTTTTTTTTCAAGATGTAAACATTTAAAAAATACAGCATGGCCATAAAGTTCATGTGCAACTTACTACGTTCAACTATTTTAAATTGCACACAAACTTTATGGACACCTTGTATCATGTTAATACTTTTTATGGGGAACTTGTTTAAACACTATTACCCATACGGACTTGAGACCTCTATTTTCTTCCCGTTGCATAACGAATTATTGCAGTTTTGAAAGTGCCTTGGAGATAAAAAAGGAAGACAAAGGAGGGTCCTTGCAACTAGCAAAGCTGCCTGTGTAGAATAAGCAGAAAAGAAGACACAGTCCCCTTCGCTCGGGGCCACACCTCTCCTGCTCTGGAGTTCTCTGTGTTCACAAACTGGAGCTGAATGGAGTCATGAGATCGGCTTTTCCAGGGGTTTTCAACATTTTTGCTCATACTTTTTCATATGAACCCTTACCTAGGAGATACTGGCTCATGCGCTCATTAATGGTTTGCACTTTTTTTGCCATCATCATCACTAGATCGTGAGTTCAGTTAGGCAGAGGTTTTCCTCTCTCCTCTTGATTACTCGGTCTCCAAACCTAGAACCATGCCTAGCACTTAGTAGGTGCTTGATAAATACTGCTTGAGTTCATTATGCTTATTATGGGCCAGACACTGAGCCGAGTGCTTTGTGTGTATCATTTGAAAACAAATTGCATATATTACACATTCATCAAGTTGCTTTTCTTTTAAACATTTAAACCTATGAATAAATGTCACCCACAGATGCTAAGCAAGAGTGCATCTAATGTCAGTTAGATGGCAGTGGCTGCCTATGTGCTGTTGTTTTGAAAATACTGAACTGTAATGGGCCTCTCAGAGATTGGAGGCCTCCTGCTCGACATCACTGATTCATCATAGCAGCTTCACTCTGCAGACAAGGACATTTAGGCCCAGCGAGGTTTAGGTGAGACCCACAGGGCCACACAGCTTTTCAGGGGAAGAGTTAGGAATCTGCCTGGAGCATGGGCTCAGGGATGGACAGGAATGACAGCAAGTCTAGAATCCAGGTGGATGTTTTATCAGGTTTGAGGGGGTGTAGGTGGGAAATCGGATCACACCTTTATATTCTTATTATAGGTCATTAAAGGCCTAGATTGTCATGCCAGCTGAAGGAGTCACTCTGTAGCCCAGATTTTAACCCTATTAGTCTCCTCTTCCTTTAGCATGAGGGAGTAGAGACTGCGTGTCACAGATATGTGAATAGGGCACTACTCTAGGTGGGGTCCACTGTCCGCCTCTAGGCTCTGTGCTGTGAATGGGGCAGAACCATGGCTTAATTCTTGGGGCTCTCTCCTGCAGATGGTGGGGCTGTGCCTCCTTTTCCCTGCCTGCCTCCTGTTGCAATAAGGGCACAGTGACTGCCTCAGGGACATCTTGAGTTTGTCACTCTGTACCTTCCCATTCTAATAATAGTTAGAAACATGATAGCTCTAACCTTTGTGTAACTAGTACTTCAAAACTGTCCCTACATATTATCAGAGAATAGATCATACTGGGGGAAAATTTATTGTTTTTCCCATACACATTGCAAAAGGATGAGTTAAGAAAGCAAGATATGATAATCTTCTCTCTGCTTTTGTTCATACAATGGTATAATTTGCTTTTTTCTTTTACAATGAACAAGTATATATATTTTTTACAGTGAACAAATATTCAGCAGTCAGTGCATAAACATTTACAAATCCTAAATTAATTCTGCCTAATTTGGGAGGCTTCTGATTTCCTCACCTTTTCCAATTTTTCTCTATATGATCTCACAGTCACTTTAGCATTTGGGCATGTCCTCTGGCAGCGGAAATGTGGCCCAAGACAGGATGGTTCTCCTGGAACCCACAGGGGCCATTTGCCAGGAGGGGACAAGTCCCAAAGCCAGGGGGAGATGCATTGGCCTGGTTTGTCCACAGCGTCAGCTGTGGCGTGAGGCTTTTTATTTTTTAGAGTCTGAAACAGGAATCCCCAGAGTCTAATTGACGCCCACAAATGACAGCCAGAAGCCAAATCAAAATGGCATCTGACTTGCCAGCCACTTCTTGTCATTCACCAGCCTGAAGGCCAACCTCTGCAAGCACAAAAACTTGGGTGCTATTTTTCTCATTTTCTAAAATTATAAATAATATCAAGGTGTGAAGGCATTTTAAGAGTTGCCAGCCATGGATGGTGCATCCAAGCAGCTGGCATTTTCTTCTTGCTTTAATAGGGCAGGGGAAGAGGAGAGAGGGAGGAAGCACGGAGGGACAGATGGAGCCTGGACACCAGTCTCTTACAACCACTGTGGTGCCATCGTTTGTCAATATACCTTTGGAGGTTGTTGGTGCAGAACATTTCTTTTTCGCAGGTATAATACTGTGCTTTTATTTTCACTTAAAAATAATAAGTGTGAAATTGTTCTTCCTTTCCAGGTCCTGTGCCCCTACCCCCTGCCACTCACGAGGCCGGCAGACACCTGTGGTCCGGGCACCTCCCCTGGGCCCAGAGCAGAGCACGCCCACACAGCCTTCTCCCCGCTCACCTGAGCCTGGAGAACCGTCTCTTGCTCCTTCAGCACTTTGGCCTGAAGTTTCCACTCTGCTGCCTGGTTCAGCAACTGTGAGAAGAGAGAAAGTGTGAAAAGACTGTCAAACTGTTTTATAACAGCTGCTGTAATAACTTGCTCATCAATCCTCAAGTAATTTTCAGAACTTTGCAAAGAGTCTAAGAAAGCTAAGAAAACAGTTGGTCAAAAAAGTTGGATTCTCAACTACAAACTTGTGGGTTTAGGGCCAGGTGCTTGTACTCATGCCTGTAATCCTAGCACTCGGGGCCAGCAGATTGCTTGAGCTCAGGAATTGGAAACCAGCCCCAGGAAGAGCAAGACCCCATCTGTAAAAATATCTGGGCGTTGTGGTGGGCACCTGTAGTCCCAGCTACTTGGGAGGCTGAGGCAAGAGGATCACTTGAGCCCAAAGAATTGGAGTGAGCTACGGCACTCTACCGAGGGTGACAAAGTGAGACTCTGCCTCAAACCAAAAAACATGTAACAAAAAAATTGTGGTTTTAATTTCTTTTTAAGAGAAAAATAGTTTGCAACTCAAGCATGGCTCAAACAAAATTCAACTTCTCACCGAATTCTGGAACCTTTTCTAGCAATTCTGGCCAACCATCACTCTGCCTGTGCTGGGACATCTCCGGAACATAGGTAAGTGTTGTCATCAGCAATTGTTCCTTTCTATCAAACCCTAGACCACCCTTCTCTACCACAGCATGCGTGATGCAATAAGAAATATGTGTCTATTTCGTCTGTCCCTGGTTCCCGACACAGAGCTTCTCTCACACATCAGAATCTCCTTGGGAACATGTTAAAATGCAGCTCTCCCTCTCAGAGAATACGATTTAGGGAATACAGGGTGTGACCAAAATCTGTACTTACCGCAGATGCCCAGGTTGGGTTGGCTACTGGTAGTCTATGGATTACATTTTGGGAAACACTGGGTTGGAAGTTTGACCTATTCTAAATCCTGCCCTCCAGGAGCTCGTGGGTTAAATTGAAATTGCATCTAGGTATGCAGAGACACGCATATTTAAAACATGTAATTTTGACTTAAGATGGATGTTCATTTATTTATCAGTTTTTGATGTAGGGCTGTGGTCTTTGTTCTGGGTATGGATCTTCTGCTTGGAGTTCAGAGTTGTATTTTGTTTTTAAATCATGTCCATAATGTGCTATAGAAGATTTCTATGTTGTTGGATGTATATGTGTGTGTTGAGTGTGTGTGTTTACCAGTAGTGCCCAAACCTAAAAAATACTTGAAAAGCAGCTTGATGGGATAATTCTCTAGAGTTTTCCACTTTTTCCCCAGTCTTTGATAACCACTCACCCGTCTAGTTTGACAACTATTTTTTTTTTTTTTTTGCTATTCGCTTGCATTTGGTCTTTCATAGCATTAAACATAGTTTTCAAAGAAACTTTTTTTTTTTTTTCAGTTTATATCATCATTCTGTTGATTTACACAATACCAAAGCAAGTATTACTGGAAAGAAAAGAGCTGATTCTTGGTGAGCTCCATCTCACTGAGCTGGGGCAAATTCACGTAGCCACCCCGGACCGTGGCTTGTAGATGCCAGAGTTGGCAAGCTGTGGGAGGGTCTGTGTGTTTTATAGAGAGGATGATGACTATCACTCTATGATGATTGACTAACCAGCGATCAATCTGGTTAGTCAGCCTGGTGGTCAAGATTTAAGAAGTTTCTATTGTATTTGAAGATGCACTGATTTAAATTTTCTTCTTTTTGTTTATACCTATTGTAAGATGTGTCCATGAGGTCTATGAATTGCATACGGAATCAGAACCAAAAGAAACAATTGTTACTTTTGACAACTTGAAGGCATCTTTTTCCTTATTCAAGTTGGTCCTTTTCCTTTGGCTCAACCTCTCTCCGTTTGTAGGATGGGTTATATTTGTTCCTCAGTGCCGCCCCAGGGGCAGTGAAGATTAATTCTCACAGAAGCACACCTGACTGGTCCCCTGAAAGGTCTGGGAGTAGCTGCTGCAGAGTAGAGCCCTATAGCGCCTCCTCTGGCCATCTCAGGGGTGTGCCTGGCACCTGCTTTTGTGAGCCAGCTGCACAGCCCTACTGTGGTGGGTTGTTCCTGACAGGTGCTGTCCATTCCGCTCAGGTGGACTTGGTTTCTCCTTACTCTCAAAAGGACGTGCCAGCTGCAACCCCAGTAGGTGGCCAGGTTGGAAGAACTGAGGGGAGCTATGTCTCTTTGACTCAAACATGCTGTTTTACTAAACCAGGGTAGGAAAATTGGGCAGTATGCTAGTTTCTTGCCAAGAATAAGTCATTCTGAATCTGCTCTCCAACACCTCTCATGCGCATCTCCGCCTAGTTTTTGCCTCTTTCATGTCTCATATTTTATATACCAAAGCACTGATATCCCGTGAGAAGCATACTTCACCTAATGGGGTAATTATACCAATAGTAGAGTACCCACCTTGTTGAATTTTGAACAATTATTCAGTGTTTTATTTCTTACTTTGTGAGCTCGGTTGTAGATGGATTTCATAAATTAATCTTTTTCTTAAGAGAACATGGACTTCTGGTTTTGAAATTATCCAATCTCCACTGGGTTGCGTTCTCCAAAGTTTGTCGTTTTGTTGCCACGTTTGAAAACTAAAGTCATTTTCAAATTACTGTTCTAATCAATTCAATTGATGTTGCTCTGATTTTAGGTAAATGGAAAGCTCATGATCAAATGTTAAAAGCCTGAATTTGAATAAGTGGCCCATTGACTATGTCTCACAGCTCTCTCTTGCCCCATCAACGACACACACGCTTAACTCCTGCTTCTGAGCCATACCTCTGAGTATGATGAACTGTCACAGTAGTTGGGCTCTGGGAACTGACGCCCATAGGATGGAACACATCTTGCTCCCTGGGCAGTGTGTGACCTTAAACAAGTTGCCTATCTTCTTTGAGACTCAATTCTCTGTAGAATGGCCCTATGGCTTTTTGGCAGGTGTGTGGGGCTAATGAGATATCAGTAAACCCCACTACTCAGTTTCTTCAACCCCAAACTCAGAATTCATCCTTGAGTCATCTGCTCCTTTCCCCACTGTCCCCAGCTTCAGGTCTGCACCATCACCTGGTGGGTTCCCATTGAAAACCACAGTGTCCATCTCCACCTCTCTTCTCTGCTGCTGCCTCCCTCATCCAGGTCATGGTCGTAAGTCATCTGGTTTGCTGTCAGAGCCTCCTGTCTTCTTGCTTTCTTGTCCCTCTGCAGTCCATTTTCTCCCCAGGACCCAAATTAATCTTCTACAGATGTGAAGCAGATCGTGTCACTTCCTTCACTAAAACTACCCAGCACTTGTCCATTATATTTAGAATAAAATCCAAGACACTGTTTAAGCCCTACAGAGCTACATAGTTTGGCCCTGATGACCGTTGCAACTCTGTTTCAAGCCTTTCCCCCATGCTCTTGCTTCCCTGACCCTTGCTCGTCTCTGGAGTGTGCCAAGCAGCATCAAGGACTTTGCCGCTGCTGAAGATGGCACTCACGTGGCAGCTGAACCGGCAGGGCTGTCTCCAGCATCCTCCCTCTGAGGGCTTCCTGGTCACCCAGTCTAAAGTAGGTCCCTTCCTTTGTCCCCTTCTTCCTTCTTATTTCTCTAGTGACCACTTATTATCTGAAACAGACCTTCCTGGTTGTCTGCTCATCTGCCACCATGCCTCTTCCCCTCCTTCGGCTCTGATCGCCATGGTAGGAGATGGCTCTCTCCATCCTGTGCACGGCACCTGATGCAGAGCTTAGCAGAAAGCAGGCACTTTGCAAACTATGCGTTGAATGGCTGAATTATATTTTATGTAAGAATAGCATGGACAAGCGCCTGGCATTGGGCTGGCCAAATTAGTTATCCAAAGCAGCTCAGGCTCTTCCTCCCTCACGGTGGTTCTCTCCGACCATCATCCAAACCACTTTCTCAGGGAGGCTCTGACACAAGGCAAACCTGACATGCACAGTGACTAAAGCGGTGCGTACATATTCCTTTTCCCGTGTGTGGCGCTCCTCCGCTTCCTTCATCATTTCCTGCGCCTGCTCCAGCTTCGCGTCCACCAGCTTCTGCTGCAGTTCTCTGTGTTTAAATATTTTGTCCAGATGCTGTGGAAAGATCAGGTATGCATGTAAGCCTTGTTTTATTATTGGTGCTTAAAATGCCAAAAAAAATGCATATAAACACATATTCTCCAGCTTTTAAATTTGCAAAGAAAAAAAGAGAGAGCTCACTACATTGGCATCACTTATGGCTTTATACTAAAGCCATCGACTTGTGAAGCCTCACCCCATATAATGTACTACACAAAAGTAAAAGGGAGAGGAGCCAGAGGTCAGTGTGGATGCCAAGAGGCACCTACATTACTTTTCCAGCGTGGTCAAACTATTAGATAGGATGCTGTTTATTATGCTAGACAGCGCAGTGATATGTAGAGCAAGGGCTATCATACTATCACGTGGTATTTCGGCTCCTTTGATTTATAAAACCACTTTTAATCACAACATTACTATGATTTATCATGATGCATTCTGCACCTTCTTGCCTCCAGGGTTATGAGAAAGCGTTGGGGCACCATCATCTGTCTGGGAGCAAGGCCTGAGCCCCAGGACATTCACTGTGTTGCTCTGATGGGGCTGACAAGGCCGAGGGTCACAGATGGACTGCTATGCAAATGTGCAGACTTCTTTACACCTTTTGACCTCGGACTTGCTTGGTGAACAGAAGCTTCCCACTCCATCTCAGCGTGAATTACTTCTGATGGAAGGTTCCCTCTGAAAGAGGATGTATGGCATTCTACCCTTGGGCTTTCCCCAGATCCAATCCGAGGAAGGTGCAGCTGTTACCCCAGGCTGTTCCCTTCTGAGCTCTCTCTGAAGAGTATGGACATTCTCCCTTCATTCTTTTCCTCTTCCTGTACTGAGCTTCTATTCTGGGGTAGGGTTGATTCTCCTGATAAGATCAACTGGTAGCTGGGCATTCTGGCTGACTGTGAGGAGTTTCTTAACACACCTAACTACTGCGACCACATGCTATTGGCTCTTTTTAAAATTTTTTCTTGATAGAATCTTAGCATGTTGCCAACAGAGTCATTTTGACCATGTTATGTTACATTCTAAGACACAGAATTAAAATTTGGGTGGAATGGGCAAAGGAATATGACATACAAAAATCCTGAGGTGGTATCTAGAGCCTTAGAATCTGTTAAATATTATGATATAATTTGGGGATAAGAAAAGACAATTATATTCCTTCTAATATGAACTATTGAAAGGAAAAGTCTTTTGGCTTTTGTGATTGTGGGTAAGAATCTTGTAGCCTCTTCTTCCTACCTATAAAATATGGAGAATATAGTACCTAGTATGTATAAGATTATTAGTGAGATAATTAAATGACATATTGTAGAGTACTTAGCACATTGCCTGATACAAACCAAGCGCTGAATAAATTATATCATCATGACTACTATTAATGTGATATTATTAATACTAAGATTGGCTGTAGGGCCTACAAGCCAATAATACAGACCCTTAATTTCGATGACATGGCGATTCTTAAGAGGGAATGAATGAGTTATTTTGACTGTATAGAGAGGACTTTAACTGACTGAGAAATAGTGTTTTTATGCCTAACACTGCCCCCAGCCTACCACTTTCTATTTATTGCTTTTACTTTGCAATGATTCCAGTTTTGAAGAAATCCCATATGACTTTCAATCAGGTATTTTGTAAAATCTTGTCTTTATTTGGGCTCAAAAAGAAATCCAATCCTAAATATTAAATCAGTGGAGAAGTTTGGCCTTAAGTGTCTTGTTAACCAAGTTCTCCACCTTCCCAGCCCAGAACCACCTCTATGCACTGTCTTCCACAGTGCTGGGTGTGGTCCTCACCTCCTCCCGGAGCTCGTACTGATCAATGATGCTTTTCAGCTTTTCTGCGAGCTCCGTGTTCTCCTCACAGAGCTTCATGTTTCGCTCGCTCTGCTGCTCAATCTGAGCCTGGATATCGGTCAGGGTGCCCTGGAAGTGACTCGTGATCTCCTTCCTTTTCTCTTCCTCCTCGCGTGCCCTCTGAAGGGTCTCTTCCTGAGGATAAAGAGCAACATACTTTGTTATGTTTTGTTTAAACGTGCCCTGGTTTTACAGACTCAGGATTAGGTCACCCAAAGGAGATTGGCGTGGGATTTTTTTCCCCCTCAGTTCTCGACAGCTGAAGCTGCTCAGCCCCCAAATAAATGTGTGAGCAAAGGTTTCAGCTGTGACACATAGTCACTCAGAGCAGGTGCTCTGAGGGCCTGGAATTTGATAGTTGGTGATGAATAGGCTTGTTTTAGAGATGACAGGTATCCTGCTGAGTGAATGAACTGCAGTAATTTCTAACAAACAGGCCATCACATGGTTTTGATCTCTTGGCTGTGGCCTGGAAGAAAGACCACTGAATTTTACTGACTGATGAGACAGATCATCATTCTTTTGGTCTGGTACAAGAAGAAGAATAACAGATCTTACATTCCTTTATAAAAACCATGGCATATTAGCCACATAATTGTATTACCCAAGTTGAGTAAATATGAACTTTCTCTTAAGTGAGAAAAAAATGTAACATGTTCATCAAAAAGCGAAAAGGAAACTAAGACAACTATAGATCAAGTACAACCGTTTAAGAATATAAAATGAAATCTTTCCAGATATGCTGGATAGTTTCTGAAAGAACAATCCGTACGGGTGTCACATGGGGTAATTAAAATGTACAATGTAAATTTTGAGTCTGAAAGCAGTATTAAGTTTCAACTCTGAAATGAAACATCTAATTTTCCCCCTTCTACTTTGTTAACATTGAAGAATTGGAAATTAACTTTTATATCATATCTGTTCTTTTTTCCTAAATCAAAACTCTCTATTCATTACTAAACCACTAACAATAAGCTCAAATTTCCTCCGTATCTATACTGAGAATTGCTTTATGATTATTCAGCTCATTCTTTTAGAATAAAAGGGTTTAATTTTGCTACATCATACTAAAGATAGAGATACTTACAGTGCTGACAAGTGACACAGACATTTTAGGATTCCTTTCAGTTCTGATCAATTGTTTATATGAAAGACTGCTTCATTGTTGGCAAGGAAAAATCATACTGCATTTAATTGCCTGCTAAGTTCAAATTATGTAACAGGATTTTTAAAAAGAAATATTAATAGAAGTAATTGTGCAAATCTTTATTTGGACAGCAGAGTGTGGAATCAAAATAAAAACTGATGCTGAAAACATGTACATAGGTTCTGGGAATATTTTATCATTTAATTTCTCCTTTCCTCTACAATACAAACACATTTTCTAATTTAATATGACTCTTGATAGCAGAATTATAATTTATTCATGTTATGAACTTTTATTGAAGAGCAACTTCTCAGGTATAGCAAGGATATTATACTTTCTAATCTGAAGGAATTAACTGTCTGAGATGCTACTTCCTTGAACTTTGTATACTAACACTTACTATATGTGTATCACTAAAAGTGGTTGTGGCCATCAGCTAAGAGAAACTAAATATACATATGATAGTTGCTGTCTCCTTAGGGCTCCAGATTAAGCCTAGAAGTCAGCAAGTTTGGAATCATAGAACCATAGACTATGATCTGAATTCCATTTGGATTTATAAATAGTCCATCTATGAATGAATACATGAAGAACCACTCCATGCTCCCCAGCAAGTTTGGGATTTTCTTTTTTTTTTTTTGGAGACAGAGCCTCAAGCTGTCTCCCTGGGTAGAGTGCTGTGACCTCACAGCTCACAGCAACCTCCAACTCCTCGGCTCGAACAAGTCTCCTGCCTCAGCCTCCCAAGTAGCTGGGACCACAAGCACCCACCACAACTGCCCAGCTATTTTTTGGTTGCAGCCATCATTGTTGTTTGGCGGGCCCGGGCTGGATTCGAACCCGCCACCTTAGGTATATGTGGCTGGTGCCTTAGCCACTTGAGCCACAGGTGCTGAGCTAAGTTTGGGATTTTCACTGGGACTTGGCTACGGAATGAAGATACAGATGTTCAGATGGCATTAAACACATTTCAAACCGTCTTAGCACCCAACCCTGGCCCACAAAACAGCATCTTGCATTTTACATTGTTTTGTTTTCCAATGAGACAAAACTAAATCTAGAGAAATCTTAGAAAATTTGATAAAGAATTTGCAATCATTTGAGCAGTGGCAGAGGTAAAATTTTCTTTTCTTTTTCAACCATGTTATTCAAAGTGAAAATTAACATAATCAGATTGAGGCATAAAGTCTGAAATAACTAAGAAAAAATAATTTGCAAGCATCATTGTGCATCATAGAACTGGTGCTGTGCCTGGCACAAAATCCATAGCTATTCAGTAAATGTTTATTTAATGAATCAATGAATTATTAATTTATGTACAGACATATGAGCAGCTTGGACTAGATGATTCCTATGGACCTGTCCACATTAAAATTCTATGATATTCTGATAACAAATACTACCGTTTTTTTTTTTTTTTTTTAAAGAAAAATCGTGTTCCCTGAGACAATTACCTATCTTTTACTAGGCAGTTCTTTTTCGGTAGAGTTTGAGGTTCAGATTTATTGCTTCAAATAAATATAATATTTTGTTGAAGCAAGCCCATATATCAGATTTTCTTTGGTCTTTTTCTAAATTATCCTCAATTGTGAGGTTGTATGTGTGTATGACTCATTGAAGAAACAGTCTTTTTTTTTTTTTTTTTGAGACAGAGCCTCAAGCTATCCCCCTGGGTAGAGTGCCATGGCATCACGCTCACAGCAACCTCCAACTCCTGGGCTCAAGCGAGTCTCCTGCCTCAGCCTCCCAAGTAGCTGGGACTACAGGCGCCCGCCACAACGCCTGGCCATTTTTTGGTTGCAGCCATCATCATTGTTGTTTGGCGGGCCCGGGCTGGGGATTCGAACCCACCACCTTAGGTGTATGTGGCTGGCGCCTTAGCCGCTTGAGCCACAGGCGCCGAGCCGAAGAAACAGTCTTTATAAAAGTTAGAATGTATGGTGGTGGAAAGACCTGGTTCTGCATTCTCTTTCTGTATCTTCCCAAGCTCCTAGCACATGAATTTTAGATTCAGGTTTACTTAGGCTGTTTGTATGGCCAAGGAAGGAAGCTCATTTCAAGTTGACCCTTCTGCAGACAACCACTGTAAGTGCTGGATGAAATGGCTTAAAGGCACCGCAGAGTAAACAAAATTGGACAGATACTGGAGGAAGTTGGCCCTTGTATATAATATAAATTTCCCCCTTTTTACAGCTTTTTAGCTTATAGGAAGACTGCAACTGGAAGCAGCATAAGGTGGGTAAAACTCTGGTAGAAAATGCACTATTTTTATGAAGAATGAGAATACAGAGTTCTGGACAACGATAGCCACTGAAAGGCGAGGGGAGATCACCAGGAAGGACCAAGACCAGTACAGCTCTAAGTTCTGTGAATGAACTGCTCACATCTCTGACTGACCTCGAACCACGCATGTTCAGGTTAGACCCAGAGCAATCTAACTACAAAAAAAGAACCTCAGTAAGGTTCAAGTTGCTGCCCAAGAGATGAAGTGTATAGTTTAAATCTAACCAAATTAATTGTCTGCTTAAAATATAATTAAAATTCTTCAAGGAACAATAGACTCTATATTCTTTATGACATTAATTGTCACAACATCCAGAATACAATCACCAAAGATTTGACGTATGAAGAACCAAGAAAATGTGACTCATTCTCAAAAGACAATCAGAGGAGGCTTGTTAAGAGATATTCCATGCAAACAGGAAGAGTAAGGATACTGGAGTCAATATATTGATATTAGATAATGTGGACATGAAGGTAAAGATCATTATTAAAGGACATTGCATAATGATAAAATGGCCGGCTCTTCAAAGAGGCATATGTGTATATGCCTAATACTAATGCTTCAAAATACATGAAGCAAAAGTTGATATAATTAAAGTAAGTAGGCAATTTCACAATTATGCTAACAGATTTCTCATACTCATTTCTCAAGAAATGATAGACAAAAATTCAATAAAGACATAAGGGATCTAAAGCTAATTGTTACTTATAGAACACTACACCCAACATCTAAACAGCTGACATTCTTTCCAAGTACATATAGAATCAAGATAGACCATAGGTAAGGGACTATAATAATTAAAAAAATACTTCTAAACATGGGTCAAAGAAAACATTAGAAAATAAATTGGAAAGTAGTTTGAATTTGAATCCTGATTTTGATATATAAAATATGCATGATCTTGGACAACTGATTTGGATTGCTGGATATCAGTTTCTTTATCAAGAAAGTGGAGGTATTAACCCTCATAGGGTGCACATGTAAATGCATTGAGCACAATGTAATGCACATGTAAAGCATTGAGCACAACTCCTGGTATCATAATTGTCCTTAATGTGATTTCCCATACTGTAAACTATTGAGGGTGCTAACATTACTGTGAGGTCTCCTATTCCTCTCATCATTCTGTCTTTGATCACCACCCGATGAGAGCAAGCTACTCTTTAAATCTCTTTATTGATAAATTTTCCCACCCTATCTAATTTAATCTTTTCTGTGTGTGTTAACTCATTTTATTGTGGTGTTCTAAGTCCATTTTTGTTTTATTACTATGTAGTATTACTGAGAGGCTGGAGATTTACGTGAACACAAATTACTATCACTTGGATATACATCTTGAGGAGAGGCTGACCAGTCCATCCCCAGACCCCCATCTAGCTGGAGTTTCTGAGTGTCCCTAGGGCAGTCGTTGAAAAGATATCAGTGACTCATCTCCTGAAACTTGTGATTTAAGATTTAGAGTTCATCCCCCTGGCCTTACATTTCCCAGATATCAAAAGCCATTATCGTCTTCTGATTGTTTTCTTCCTAGCTCGTTGAAAAACTTTAGCAATAATTTTCATGTCTCTGCTTCTTGAAGTATCTCCTTTTAGACACATGTAGTAATAACTACCTCACAGGAACAGGGGTGTCTGATTAATTATTGTTTGTTAGAAGCTTTAGAATCTTCAGCTGGAAAGTGGACACATATGGTATTATCTTGGAGAGCCCTGCATCGTGCTTTATTGAATGGAACTAGTGTCTGTGTGTAATCAAATTAACTACACTACTAGGGGCTTATGCTGTAATTAATGAAACTCGTGCAGGATGAATGAAGTGATCAGTCTATTATTTTTAGATTGAATAATTAAGTCTGAAGAGCTTCAGTGATTTTTTTTTCCCCCAGTAGCTTCTTTTTAAAGATGACTATTGACATTCTAGCTCTCCATCTCTCTTTATCGTGTCAACTAGCTTCGTGCCAATTTATCTCATGTTGTGCAGAATTCATTATAACACAAACAATGTGGAATCTTTACAGATTTATACTTTATAAAATATAAAGGCCTTTGGGAACTTTAAAAACAAACTCAACATGATAAAAAGGGAAGGAGCATGGCGCACACTTTATGAAAGGCCTGCACTGTGTCAGGTACCGTGTGGGCACCTTATATGAGGGACCTCCGGTAATTTTCCCCCAACCACACAGTAAAAGCTCTTAATTTATTTTGGCTCCCTGGTTAAGCAAGTGGTGGAGCCTGTATTTGAACCCGCGCCTCTCTATTCTAAAGCTTACGTTCTTTTCTTTTCACAAGTCAGAGTCCTGTGTCCCTGCACGGTGCCAGATTGTGTGTTGTTTTGAACCCAGGAGACACATACCTTCAGGGTCTTGTTGTGTCTCTGCAGCTCCCGGCACAGACTCTCCAGTTTGCTCCGAGCCAGGACAGCTCTGCTGTGTTCCCCCTGTAACTGGTCCTTTTCCTTTTGGATTTGCGCCTGTTTCTTTTGCAGGAGCTTGAGCTTCTTTTGCTCAGTGCGATGTTCGTCCAGCTAGATAGAGGGGTGCAAACGCGAAAGAAAATGGGGACAGTCCCTTTTGGAGTTGACAGAAGATATGCAACACCTAAAGATCATTCAAACAGCCCTAGGACACTTTTGATTATCACTATTATTATTTTGCCATGATCTGTCCCTCTGGAAGTAGGTGAACTTCATGAACGTCACCTTTGCAGCACTAGGAGATAGTTTTTAGAGCATAATATGTATGGGTTTTCATTATTATTAATCTATTCTTCGATTTTTTGGGTGGTCTATAAATATTTTTCTTGAGTCTGTCTGACAATGCCAGCCAATATTGAAAAGGGTGTCTCAGAATTTGTAAATTGTCAGAATTCATGAAAATATGTTGTGGCAAGGCAATAGTCAACAGTCTGCTTGGGTTATATTTTATTTCTATACAAATAGCAAGCAGCTAGCACTATGTTTCAAAGTAGGAGAAAGAAAAGCAGCCTCCGGGCAAATGGAAGATGAAGTCCTCTTCTTTATGATTTTGGGTTCTGATGTGGGTTGTTAGAGAGTGGGGAAGGAGGAGAGAGAAAGAACCCTTCCATTACCTCAGCACTGATGGGTTTTCACCCAAGTATCAGAAATAGCCACTGCATAAGTCAGCAGCACGAGTGGCAAATGTCTGTAACATGCCCTGTGCCCCGCCCACTGCCACCCCTCCACGCGTGTAGATAACAAATCACCAAGCTGCTTTCTGCTGAGCCCAGGACCTCTTCTCACATCCCTCCAGCAGGCACAACAGAAGTAGCATCTGGGGGATGGCGTGGAAAATGAAACCAACTTACCCCCGCGCTTTCCACCTTGGGATGCCAAAGTTCTAGGTAAAATACAGGACACCAGCTAAATTCAAATTTCAGATAAATAATCATTTTTTTGTGTGTAAGCATATCCCAAATATTTCATGGGACGTTATTTTTACTAAAGAATTATCTGTTGTTTATCTGAAATGTAAACTTAACGGAGTGTGATGTATTTTTATTTGTTAAATCTGGCAGAGTTATTAGGGGGTTCTAGAGCCAGGGGAGGGAACACGAGGATCAACCTCCAAAGCTTCTGGGGAGAGGGACTGGCGGACTCCAGGAGAGTCAATCTCAGGCTGACCATCAGTGTGGCCACATTCAAGCAGCAGCCCCTCTGTCCAGGGCCATTTCTTCTCCTGGACCCAGCTGCTTTAGTGCTTGATGGTACTTAAGCCAGGTAGGTAGTTCAAATAATGAACTTGTTGGCAAATGGGGAGGACAATCCCTGGGAAGTCCCTGGGTGCTTCTGGGCTCCAGGTGCTCCTGGTGCCTCCCAGAGCCTGATACACACGCCACATGAGATATGCGTCCTGCATGGGTCTCAGTTTCCCTGGTTGGAAAAGCATTTGTTCTTTCTGAGCCAGATGAACAGGACTGGCACATTTTCTTCAGTTCACATCTCATTTCACTCCTTTTCTTACCCCCCGCTCCCCCCACATTCTGCCACATGAGATAACCATTATAAACCTTGCCAGAACAAGGTAAGGATATGTATCTATGATAGTTTATCTTCATATTTATGTGCAATCCTACTTATTAGTGGGCATTAGCATTGGATAAAACAAGACCCATGCTACTAAAAATATTGACATTGATATCCTCCTTGGAAAATCGATGATACTTTGTTTTATGTATTCTCATGCTAAACTCCTGTTCATAAGATAAATGTGGTCCAGCTGGGCACAGTGGCTCATACCTATAATCCTAGCACTCTGGGAGGCCAACGTGGGTGGATTGCTTGGAGCTCAGGAGTTTGAGAGCAGCCTCAGCAAGAGCGAGACCCCGTCTCCACTAAAACTAGAAAAATTAGCCAGGGGTGGGTGTTGTGGCAGGAGCCTATAGTCCCTGTTACTTGGAGGCTGAGGCAGGAGGATCACTTGAACCCAGGAGTTCGAGTTTCCTGTGAGCTAGGCTAATGCCATGGCACTCTAGCCAGGGGCAAGAGAGTAAGACTGTCTTAAAAAATGAAAAAAGAAAAAGAGATAGACATGATCCTTTCCTTTTGAACCATAGTTATTAGATAGGGGTGAAATTTCTTATGCTTAAATTTGGATTTTAAATGACCTATTGTTCTTTCTTAAAGTTTAAATACTGGTATCATTTTCACTGCCACCCAGGGGTGCCCAGCCTGTGGGCCACATGCAGATATGTGAGGACTTTCTGCTTAACCCTGTTACCAGATATCACAAAAATTATGCATGGGCCTTTTTTTCTTTTTTTGCTCATCAGCTTTTGTTAGCATTTATGTATTTAACATATGGTCTGAGACAACTGTCCTTCCAAGGCAGCACAGAGCAGCCCAAAGGTTGGGCACCCCTGACTGGGCTTCTTGGTCTCAGCATTATTGACATTGCAGACCAGATAGATAATTTTTGTTATGGGCACTGTCCTGCTCATTATAGACCATTTAGTACCGTTTAGGCCGTTTAGTACCATTTCTGGGCCCTGCCCATGATAAGCTGTAGCACTGCCCAATTGTGATACCCCCACATACCTCCAGACAGCCATGCCTATTGTCCCCTGTTTGGGAAACACTGCACCGTGAGGCTCTCCGGGTACACAGGAGAGCCCTAAGTTGGGAGAAGGAAGATCTGTGCTTGCTCACTGGCCACTCAGTGCTTCAGCTTTACTGCAAGATCATGCAAATTTATAATTCATATGGGTCTACCTTGCTTTGCTCTGAAATAAAAACCCTTAGCTTTCCTTTTTTTTAGTGTGTGGATAATTTTGTTCAAATGCTTCTAGTCCACAAGAATGCACATGTATGCATGGATTTTCTTAAAAAATGAAAGCAAACATATTGCAACTGAGTCAACTTCACTCAAAGGCTGGCTCTGCCATTGAACAGTTCATGCAGGCCTGGGGTCTTCAGTACAGTTGTAACAGGAGTAAAGGATCTGTATCTGCAATTTCTCTTGTTCTTTCCTTCATTTTTACTAAGTTAAAAAAGTAAAATTAATGCCAAGTGTCAAAATCGTATTATTGATGTTGTTTTAACTACATAAAAATTGAGGAAATTTACAAAGAATATTTCTCCCAGACCATGTCTTAATTTAATTATGAGACATCCTTATTTATTAATGAACTTATCCTTATTTATTAATGACCATAATGACAGATAGTATTACAGGATTCAGACTGGAAGGATGAGTGAGCTGGAGAGGCAGTTTGATTCACAGCTTTGGATTTGATGATTTATTCCATGTGAACACTTATATTTCAGACGATTTCTATATTAATATCCAAATCAGTGGGCAAGGAAATAGGCTTTAGTCTCCAAGAGAAGAAATTAAAATTCTCCATAATTTTTCTTTTCTGAAAAGGAAATGTAATAGGTTTTTTGGCTCAATTTTCTCCTACTCATTTTTTCTAGAATGATCTTTTGGGTTTGAAAGCTTTTTTTATAGGTGATACAAATACTAAAGTATAGCAAGTAAGGCTTGAATTGAGTAGGTTAAAAATTAACCTCTGCTGGGGTGAATGCTTGGCTAGAGCTTGAGGAGGTACAAAGAGTTCCCTGAGCCCATGTGAACAGCCCTGGCTGCTGGAGAAAGTGTTGGGTCAGACTGGAGAAGCGATTCTTCTCCAAGGTGCTGTTGTGGGACTGCAGCATTGTAAAAAGCTTCCTGTGCTAGTCTAGAATGCTGCCAGTCCAGTCAAGTGTAGAACATAGCACTGGAAACTAAATGTGAATGGCCTTGGTAATTGAAGGGGCAAAGGAAAAATGATGTGGAATATACGTAAAATAGCAAGGATGGCGGGTGAGAGTGGGATGGTAGGTGGGGGGGGATCAAATTTGGGAAAGGGATGTCACTTTTGAAACCTAACATTTCATGGCATTGAAATTGTTTCTGGCCAATGCTATACAAGTTGCAATAAAATTGATATACTGATATTTGTTTTGTAAATCTCTACCATTCTTTTGGAGAGCAACGTGGTCATAAACTTTAAAACCAAAAAGCGCTCATCTTATTTGATTTAGTAATCTCATTTCTGGAATTTTTCTTAAAACCATAAAAATGAAGGAGAAGGAACATGTCTAATGCCCGATGATGCTCATGGCAGCAATGTTTGGCAAAGCAGAGCAGGGAGAGGACTCCAAATGTCTCCAAATCAGTGACTCCACAGATAAAGCCACTTAGCAGAGTAGAACACAATTTTTACAAAATATAATTGGAAAGACTATAAATTACATGGGATAAAGTCTGTCATATAAATAAAAAAATCAGATACTCATGTATGTGTACCTTATAACTGTAATTACAATAAAAACTTTACATACACACGAGAACTGGAAAAACGCATAAAAGCAAAGTTTGTGTTTTAGATGAGATTAGAGATATTTTTGTTTTATGTATGCAGCATTCTTATATCATCATGATATGTCTTGTGTGGTTAAAAAGTAATTAAAAAGTACTGTTGGCAGAGTTAAGCAACTAGCCAGTCACTTAGAGTTTCAGGATCTTCTGAGTCTGTGGCATGACAATTCAGCATAACGGGCTGTGTCAAGGTGGAAGGAAAGAATAAATAAAGATCACAGGACTAAAGTCAGAGTGAAAAATAAAGAAAACAGGCACTCACTACAGTCTACTCCATACAATAGGGATGAAGGGTTTGTGGGGCTCTTTTAAAAAAATTAGAGGCCCTCTTTAAAAAGACAATAAAAAAGAGAGTTAGGTCCAGGGCCTCAGAGAGGCCCCGGTGAGTGAGAGATTCCAAGGCTTAAGCTTCTGTTGCTATAATGATAAATGCGCTGTTGGGGGAAGTTCACCTTACTACCTGGAGGACCGCTTTTGCTATGTGTAGCCTTAAGCTTCATTTTCCTGTCATTTGTTCTCTAATGCAGTAAGCAAGTGAAAACATTTCTTCAAGAAAAGAAGCAGAATTAAAAGAGAAGGCCATCACCTCCCTTTCCTAGAGAACGCTAGCCTCTCCGCTGTGGGTCTCATAATCTCTGGGTCTTGAAATCTGCAGGATTGGCTCTGATGTCAGTATTTTTGGTTCATTCTCAGATCAGCAGGTATTTGTGAGGATTCATTGAAACTAGAGACGTTGGTCTCACCAAGCCTTCTCCTTTTCTCCAACTGGCCAATTCTAGAGTGCTGCTGAGGAGACAATCCACCTCTAACATCCCCTGATGGCTGCCCTTGCTCTCAGTGGCCCTAATTGAGAGGGAGGCTGCCTGGGGAGCATCTTGAGTCTACATGAAATAGGATAGAAGGATGTGGATCCCAGAGAATAAACACAAACACGGGCCAGACCAGATGAGAATGTGCCGTAAGTGGAGGGTGGCATTGATTCAATCCCTTTCATTCCTACCTATCTCACAAAACTTGGGCATGAGAACTGAATGAAAGTTTGAAGATTTATCTTTATGTCAGGTGTGCATTTCTATTTTATTGCAAAGCAAAGGGAGAACTTCAAAATATCCACAATTCCATCCGCTATACTTCACTCTCCCATCCCCCAAATTACATACATAATTGAAGATGGAGTCAACTCCAATTCTAACCTCTGCCTTTCTTTGCTGTCATTTTTTAGCTTTTCTTTTCCTTAAAAAATTCTTTTATAAATTCCAACTTGGGCTTGTTTGAGGTCACCAGCTGAGGTCTATAATGATGTACATAAAAACCGAGTCTCCTTTTGTCAGCCTAAATCTTCCTGACAAAGAGTACTAATCAAAAAATCTTACCAATTCAGCATACTTCTTGAATAAAAACTCAAGCTTTTCTTCAGGTGTTTGCAGCTTGTTCAGATTTTGCATTAGCAGACTGGCTTCTTTACCTAAAAAAAAAGAGACATTTGAAAAATACATGTTGAACTTTCAAGTGGTAAGGGCTGAAGTCTCAGGTGAACCATTTGCTAATTACTACCAAACTTTGGCCAAGCTACTAACCTCTCAGATAGAATTTTCTTAAAAAGGATGACACCTCTCTTACAGAGGAAGTGAGGATTAGCTGAGAAGTTTGTGAAAATGTGTAGTTCAGTGTCAAGTTCATGGTAGTCTCTCAGTAAATGTTTGCTAGAACAGGAAGTCCCCAAATTTTCAACCCAAGCATCCATTCTTATTACTTCCCCTCTGTTTCAAAATAATCAAAATATTTTATTTATAAAAGAATAAATTATGCATTTCCCACCATAATTAACACAAAAAAGCAAAACAGTCCATCAAAATTTCTGAGTAGTATGGAAGGGCCAGTGTCGATACATGGAACTGCTAGGATTCCAGCCCAATGCAGAGACATATGACAGTGTAGTCTGCTCAATTTTTTTTCTTTTTTTTTTCTTTCTTGTAGTATTTCTTTTAGGGAGAACCCATTCTCTCTTTTCTACATGTAAACCCATTCTGTGAGGTTTGGATGGGAATAACTGATCATAGTTCTTACCAAACAGAGAATAAATATATCAATAAAGAAGGAAAATGGAGGAGCTATCCACAGGCCTTTTTGTGACTCTGTGATATGACGGTGGACTCAGCCTTCTTGGGCCATCCTCTCTCCCAAACAGGCCTGAATCCCTGACAGCAGTTTCATTTTCTGTTCCCACTTGGAGTTTATGCCATCTTTAAAAATTCATCAGTTCATGATTATTTAACAGGGAGCATCAGGTTTGTTCTTTCTCCATTAGTCTTCCTTTGGTACCGTTCAGCTCAAAGGGCCCATGTACCTTCGGGCAGGTATCTGGAAACCTTGTCTTCAAGTAACTGTAGGGCTGAGTGTCTGGAGGGAGGAGCGGGATGCTGAGGCCTATGTTTACCACTAATTCTATGTTTTCAAACTGTCCAGTCTAGGCGTCCCCACCTCACCTATCTGGAAAACCGTGCTGTTGAATCAAAGTAGGGAGAGAAAGCCACATGAGAGAGCCTGTTTCCTGCTTCTGCTGAAGAAAATTAACAACTTTGACAACCTTTCCTCCAAGAACAGACACTTCCCCTTGGCTAGAATAGTCTCTTTCATCCTAAAAAGGGAGATGTATCATGGGGTTAGGAGTTCTAGATAAACTACTGAGCACAGGACATACTCATACTAAAACATTGTTTTGTTATTTACCTGAAATTCAAATTATAGCGGGTATCTGGTATTTTTATTTGCTAAATATGGCAACCGTATAGGGAATCAACGAATTTTAGGTCTAGAGGGAACTTCAAAGAGCATCCATCAGTTAATTGTACAGATTAAGTATCTAAGGACCAGAGAAGTCCAAAGTTACACGATTAGTGCAGGCCGAGCTTCTGCTTAAACCCCAGGCTAGTCTACTTGTTCTAAATCACTCTGCTCCCATGTGATACTCTGATGCCAGGGAAACCTAGAGGAATAAACCTTTTTTTTAAAATGACCTCATTTCTGACAGTTAATCTATCTTTGCCCCATGAGTCAGTTCAGAGTAGTGACACGGCCTCAAGCAGGGGGAAGGTGGGTGTGAGTGGGGCCCACCCAGCTCTGCAATTACGGGCTGCAGTGTAATGCACTGGCCTTTGCAGCTGACAATCACTGCTGCCGCCCCTGCCGGGCATCTGCTTCTAATTATCCCTCTGGCAGCAGGGATGGATTGGCGTTGGTCAGACTGGCCCTTCACCATTGTCTTCAGTTGAGGGAGCCCTCATGAAGGCCACTGAATTGAGTTAGAGCATCGTCTGTCAAGGGCAAGAGATTGTGATCTTGATCAATCTTGGCCCAGGACCCCACGCAGTGTCTGGATCACAGCAAGTGCTTAGTAAATGTGAACTAACCAAACTGGTATCACGTGAATCAAAGGAGCACTGTCCTGAAAACTGCTCTGTCACCGACTAGAGGACAGGCAGGTCTTGCTCTTACCTCTGGCATTTAACGTATGCCAGGCCACCTCTCCGTGTGAGCGTGTGTCTTGTTGAGGGAGAAAGAAACAACTGAGCGAGTCCCATGGTTCTCTCTGTCTTCCCATGTCAGGTCTGCTTGGGAGCTGTTTTCTGTAACTGTGAGTTTTGCTTTGTTTTTTATTTTTTTTTTTTTTATTTTTATTTATTTTTTTTTTT